GGCAATTTTAGTGAATAATTTTGTAATTTGTCACCTTAAGATGGGCTTTGTACTAGGCCCAAACTCAAAATCTTCAAACTCAAAGGCCCTGTTAGCCTAACCCTCTTTGGGATAATTTTTGTTGTTCAACAAAATGCTTTTTGGAATGAAATAAATTTTTAGATGTTTGACATTGATCAAATCCAAACGTAAAAAATTCACTAATTTTTTTTGTCTGTTTTAGGCCACGTCTTTTTAGGTTAGAAAAATTAACTTTTAATTTCTTCAAACTTCATCCAGTTTCTTCCAACTTTTTTCAATTTTTTTCAACGACTTAAAAAAATATTTATATATGATCAACTAAAAATAACATTATATATCCAAATTAATAATATATCACCTCAAACGCGAACAATGAGAAATTCTTATCCAAAATTAGAGTTTACCAAAGGGTTAGGGGATAAATCCCATAAATTTTGCGAATGAAATACTTTAAGTGTCCCAAAAAAGAAGTGGCACCGTGCGCACTATCAACTAGAGCCAATGGGTCTGGAACCGTTTCGTTTATAATAATTTATTTAGTAAATAAGTGGGTAAATAACTTTAAACATACAACAACAATAACCAGTTGGATCCAACGAAGTAAAGTTCAGGGAGAGTTTATGTAAGTAGACCTTTTGCTACTCATAAGTAAAAAAGCCTCCTTCCAAGAAACTCTCGGCTCATGCAACATAGATAATAAAAGATCAAAGAAGACACATAGGTCGTGTTATGTTCGCCTGATCAAATCTGACATGATTTTTTTAAAGATTTGGTCTAATTTAATCTTATCTAGTCTAGTCTGGTCTGACTGTAGTTATATTTAAAAATATTTTCTATCTGATTTGATTTTAATAAGAATAAATAATTAGCTGAAAAAATAAGTTGAAGCAGAATAGATCCATAGGGCAGAGAGAGTATAAACAACATAGAGGTAAAGAACAAACTAAAATAAACAAAGGAAAACACTATATGCGGAGAACACCAAACATAAAAAGCACATAAAAAAGAATGCAGTAATTGCCAACTTAGCCCAAAATGCTTACCCGATTAGTTTAATCTTATCTTTCCAAACGGTGATACTTAAGGTCATATCAGTAGTGAGGCCAAGAAGTCATTGGTTGTGTATGATCATCTCATTCTAATTCTTATTAGGTCTGCCCCTTCCCCTACTCTCACAGGCCCTCGTAAGCCTCTCGCATCTCTGCACTTGCCCATTAGCACTTCGACGTCTCACATCGTCCAAACCACCTCAACCTAATTTTTCGCAGCTTATCTTTCGCAGGTGTCAAGCCCCTTTGTCCTCAAATAACCTCTTTTCAAAAAATATTTATCCTAATGTGACCAATATCCAACGCAACATTCGTAACTCTATAGCATGCAGTTCACAATCATGGGTTTTCTTAATTGTCTAGTACTCTGCACCATACAACATAGCTGGTCAAACCACGGACCGATAGAATTTATCTTTTATCTTAGCCGAAATCTTCTTATCGCAAAGCACTCCTAAGCCTACCTCAACATAGGGCTCCAACGGATGCGCAACATCCCCATACAACTCCTCATCCGCTTGAATGACTAGATATCGAAACTTGTCTATCTTGGGCACTGGATGAAACTCAATCCTTACTTGTCCTCTTGATTCTGTCACGCAACCGCTTAAAGGACGTTTTAAGTCCTTCGTGAGTGTCGTTGATTAGCACAATATCGTTTGCAAAGAGCATGCATCACGGGACTTCTCCTTGAACTCCTCGTGTCAAGACATCTATCACGAGAGCGAATAAGAATGAGCTAAAAGTAAAACTCAGGTGTACCCCACCTATATAAAGAAAGCTTAGAGTCACCCTAAGAGTAAAGAGACTACAACAAACAATAAAGTTTCACAAAAAGTAAGGCGGCTTGGGAAAGGTGCATACCCATATTTTAATACTAAGGTAAAAACAAAGATAAAAAAAGGGATAACTATAATTTATTACGGAGTACTACAAGTTGAATACAACCAAACAGCAAGTCGTATAAACTCTCTATAGTTAAGTGGTTGTAGGAGCTGAAATACTCACATTACATTTAAGGAAAAAGTACAGGGTGAAAGAAGAATAGGGTTTTTAATAAAAGAAAAAAGAACTCAAACTTCCATTAGCGTAGCATATACTACTGTACATATACGTTTACACTTGAAGAGCATCATCAACATGCACCTGGCCTCCTCCTCCTCCTCCTCTCTCTCTCTCTATCTTTTCTGGAAGTTAAAAGTTTTAATGGCAAGGGCGAAAATGAAACCGAAAAGGACCGGAAACACAACAGTCATTGCCGCGATCACTCCAAGAAAATCGTGCTTAAACCCAAAGTAATCTTCCAAGAACTCTTTCACAGTTTGATTCGTATCGATCATTTTCTCGCCCTCAATGTCTCCAAACTGTGATGCCACCAATCCGTACAATGTCCATGACACGGGGCATGCCCAGAAGTACCATCTCCACCACACGGGCATGCTCTGTTTACATTAACACTACATGTTAGTGTCCAAATTCAATCTTAAAAGATCTAACTTTTATGTGTTGGTTTGTCGCATAAAAGAAAAAAACAAAAAAGAATAAAACTTACGGGTCGTGGGATGATGAAACCAGAAAACAGATTCCATGCACCGTAGAAGAATGCCGCCACAATGGATGCAATGCTTTCGTTGGGAGTGGCAGCCACAGACATCATCCCGTAGAATGTGAAGTATAAAAATGTGAAGAACATTATGAAGAAGTACCATAAGAATTTAGTTGCCGTCCATTCAAATCCAATCATTGCATAAACAATCACACCATACACCGCCGCTTGAAGAAATATGTATGGAATTTCAATAACAGCCTGTCACAACACAAACAGTAAGGAAAAAGAAACCAATGTTATATAATTTCCAATTCATTTTTGCATTGTGGGTGGGCAAAAGTAGTAGTAGATAAACAAGAAGAAGAAGAAGGCTCACTTGTCCAAATGCATATGGTAATGCAGAATACATCCCCGCAGCCTTCTCCCTATAGAACACGGTACGTTCAACCGCGACCACGGGCTGCACCGAGGAAGAGTTTTGCACGCCAAGAAAGAGAACCGCAGCATACATGGACCCCATAGCATTGAACAAATCTTGCCTCCTCCGGCTGAAACATAACGAACCAAAACTTTTAGCACCAAAATGTTTTACTAAAAAAGTATATAGTTGGTTTATTTAAGGTCAACTTACGTTTTAGTACCGAGGTCCCAAAACATTGTCCCAAAAGCCAATGCTATGATGGTTGTGAAGATGAACCTAACTGCGGTGTAAGATGTGTTACGCCAATAAGACCAGTGTTGTTTCCAGAGGCAGGCCATGCATTGGCTCCAGAAACTCTGTGAGTATTGAGTTGTGAAGTACAAGTCCTTGGAACCGGGGCGAGGCGTGCTTAATTCACTTATCAAAGCTTTGTTCCTTCTGTAGAGATCTGACTTCTTGTACTCATCAGTGAAATCAAGTCCCAGTAACATTTCTTGAGCTGAAGTGGTCACTTCCAACATCCATGTTGCTGGATTGTACCCGTCCTTGATTTTCGAAACTCCGCGAATTGACTATATTTCACAGAGGTGGTAAAACTAGATTAGCAATGTCGTAATAGGTTAGAAGTGTGATGTTTTGAGGTTTTGAAACTCACCTCAAAGTAGTTAATCAAATCGCATGAATTACGTCCCAATTGCCCAACATAAATCTCTTGTCCTCCTCTCTTCATTAGAAAGAGCTGCAAAAATGTATTTGTCGTCAGTTTTTCGTCGTCTAAGTTTTAGTAATAAATAATAATCGATCTGAAAGAATGTCACTCAAGGAAATTCTATTTACCTCATCGAAAGCTTCAAAAATGTCAATGCTGGGTTGATGGATGGTGCAAACGACCGTTCTACCAGTGTCGACAGTGTTCCTCACAGTTCTCATCACAATTGCAGCCGCTCTAGCATCCAGTCCAGAAGTTGGCTCATCCATGAATATGATTGATGGGTTTGCCACTAACTCAACTGCAATCGTTAACCTTTTACGTTGCTCAGTTGAGAGACCGTTAACTCCTGGCAGCCCAACAAGAGCTGATCTCAATGGATTCAGCTCTACTAGTTCCATCACCTCATCAACAAACATCTGCAATTAAAATACACAAATGTAAATGATCTGAGATTAAGAATTATTATACCTTATGATTAAGTG